GTAATTAATCAATTATGAAGTAATTACTCCCTTCATTCTTTTTTATATGTCATCCTTATTATAAAAAATTGATCCATAATACTTGATATTTCATAAATTACAATATTCTTCCTATTATACCCTTGATAGTTAATTAGTTTTGAAAATAAATATTTGACCAACCTAGGAAAACTAATAAGTAATTAATTTTAATTGTAATTACTTATTGTAAAAAGAAACGGAGGAAGTACAATGAACATTAATTACTTATTAGTTTTCCTATGTTGATCAAATATTTATGTTTAAGACTAATTAACTATCAAGAATATAATAGAAAGAATATTGTAATTTATGCAATGATTTTATAAAATGACAAATATCATGCACCAACTATTTATAATAAGGATAAAATATAAAAAAGAACGGAGGAGTACTAGTTATAAATACATTAACTTATATGCCTATTTCGAAAACACGTTGAACAACTAAAATGAAAAGTTTCTACATACTATATTTTATGTGTATGACAATAAATATATCATATAATAGGTTATATATTAAAAACATAGTAGGTAAAAACCTTTCATCTTCATTTTGAATTATTTAATATGTTTCGAAAATAAGAATAAGTTGATGTATTCATTACTAATATGTTTTGGAAGGAAATTATTGAGAAAAAACTATTGATAATAATAACAATCATACGAGCAAAGATTATGACAGTCTTTTTCTTAATTATGACCAAATTTAGGCCAATTTTTTGTAACAAATTAGGAGGTCTCTTAATAAAATTACTCAGAAATATTTATACGTTATTCATAGTTGTTTGTATGGCTACATTTATGAAGCGAAAGTCAACAATTAAATACACAAGAAAAAATTTCACTTCCCATGTATGGGGAAAGGATCTCAATTCTCATGTATTGAAAAATATTCCTTCATATTAAATTGTTCTATTTTATATGATTTAAAATAGTAAATTGTTCAAAGTCAAAGAGATATAGGAAAAAAAAATTGCCTCTCATTTACATTTTTTAAGTGAAAAAGAGAGTTAATTGTTTATATTTATAATTTTACTTTAATTTATTTCTAATTTCAAGAATAATTTGAGAAAAAAATTAAAAAAGCAAAAGTGGAAAATAATATTAAATTTATGTTTTTACTTTTTTCCTTAATAATACCTCAACAATTCACTTTTTTGAAATAAAGGAAATAGCTATAAATAAATTAATAAGAAAATTTTAAATATCTTTTAAAAAGGGGTAAAAAAACTATTCTTTTTATTTCATATTAAGTGAATTTGTGAGGCAATGCACACTTATTCAGAAAAAAAATAGGACATAAATGGAATATCACTTTTCAATTTTACATTTTTAGTAATTCTCAAACTATTATTAAAAGTAGAAATAATTCAAAATAAATTTATAAATATGAGCCATTAACTCACCTGAACTTATCACCTAGAAAATGTAAATAAAGGGCAAAAATAAAAATAAAAATTCGAAAAAATATTTTAAACTTTGAATTATTAAATTATTTTGAACTATAAAAAAAGAATCTAAAAAATTGAGGAGTAATACACTTTTCACCTCTTAATAGATTGGCCAAACATGCGATTAAAGCAATGGGCACTTGGTTCTTATCAAAAGCAAAAAAATGTAAATGCTAGCCTTAAATGACATTAATATGATTTTTTTTCCATGCACCTAATTTTTCGAAATGTATACTCCACTTATTTATTTCTCTTTACCGTTTGGTGGCTCTCATCCTGACTTTTAAACTTTTTTTAAACTTATTTCAAATAAGCATAATTTATAAAAACAAACAACTTCTAGAATATGCTCATGTATTTACGCTGTCACAATATGCAAGTTGATAATGATCAAACATTTTAGCAATTTAGAGATGATATATTCTCATTATTAAAAGAAAAATCGTTATCAGAATTCTCGAGTTCGAATGAAAATTCCTGATGCTTCACCTTTTTAATAAAAACGTAATGCAGCTCGAATTCATATTAATCAGAGTTCAAAACAGAGCATCTAAGATGAGAACTTTTACCTGGATCTTCCAATACGGTAGATGATTTGGTATCGAATTCCGTAAGAGAATTCTTCTCCTTTTTCTTCTTCGTCTTCTTCCCCTTATTTCTGGTGCTTCCACATTGAAGCTGATTCACTTTCTCTACGTCCTTATTTCTCTCCCCTGTTTCGAACCACCGGGAAAAAATCCATCTCGGCGATATACAAGTAGTAAAACTCCGGGTACAGGTTTCCGATCTTCTTTTCCTAATTTCAGTACAAGCCCTAGCTGTGATAATGGAGATACTGCAATAATCATCGCGACTTCCCATTACGATTTACTGTTTTATAACCAAACACACTGAGATCACTCTCTTATATATATAGTAAAAAACTATATGTATTTTGGGGATCGGAGACAACTCCTCAGCTTCTTATTCTTTCGGTTTTCGAAAAACTGATTTGATTTGATTTGAAGTGAAGGAGGGAAATATTTTGAAAATGAAAGGTTCACGAGATTCATCACATACTAATTTATGAGCATATATGACTGCAACCGAAAATCCATTAATGACATTAAATTACTTGAATTTTTATTTTTCTACTAGCTGTAAAAACATAAATGTAGTATTATTATATTTATATTTAACCCAAAAAAGGAAGAAAAATAGTTGCTTTTTAAGCACTAATTATTAGTAATGTCTAGCTTGTGCTTATCAATGGCCAATTTTGAATTATTTAATCGGAACTTGCTTTTGCAATAGTACTCCCTCCTTCCATATTAAAAATAAAATCTTCATTTTTATTTATCTAGTTTAAAAATTCAACAGATAATTTATCCTTTTTTTAATCATTATAAATTGAACTATACTGTTTTAAGGATAAACAAAATTAGCAATATATGTCATCGGAATTTTTCTTTCAAGCTTTAAAAAAAAAGTTGCATTTTTGGGTAAGAGAATTAATTTTTTTTCTCACTTGTACTTTAGTCAAAAGTGCCTATACCTGAAAATTAAATGACGTCTCAGAGTACAAAAGAAATTATGTTTCAAGGGACTAAGTAGTGTAGTTGAGGTGGGTAAGTATCTATACTCTCTAAATAATACCATAAATTATTGTTCTATAAAGGGACCACAAAGCATATAGTAATAGTAATTGATCGTATTTGATTCAGTATTTCAAACTCACGTAACAATCCCGTTCTAACAACTGTTATTTGTCAAATCAATGATATTAATCTTAACAATTAAAAAACGAATGTATATAAAAGATACTATCTGACTTACAGATGTATTGATTTGGTATAAATACCGATACAGATTATTTAATTTTTACGTGTAGGTCATCTATCATGGCCGCCTTCCTACTAGTAGCTCTCCCTACTCATTAGTACCAGCAGACTCCAGTTGAGTTTGATGATAGTAATAGAGCTAGGCAGTCAACAAGTCAAAAAAGAGGAAAAAGTTCAAGTGTGGAGAATTGGAGAAAATGGGGGCTTAAAAGTGCTGCATGTCTAGTCTCATAGAAATAAATGGTGGAAGATGCAATAATTTGCATCCAAACAAGGTCAAAACACTAAATAGGTTTTGTAGGAAATACATTATAAAGACATATCTGATGATGGAGTCTTAAGGATTCATCATCGTTAGCTCGAATTTAATGTTCTTCTGCAAAATCCTGATGATGATGAATTCCCACCGAAAGATGCTAATGCTCGGACAAGTTGCTAGTGTATTTTTCCTGTGCCAAGAAAAAGGATGGGGATAATTCAGATGTTTAATAAAGGTCACAACCATTGTTACTAAAAGTCATCATTTCATTGTTGATAATGTTCTAGGTTCATGATCCGTTAGCCAAGTTCTGTCACATATATAAACAGAAAATACTACAAGTGCTTAAGAGAGAAAAATGGCAAGATCTCAGAACCAGCATAGAGGAATTTCAGTGATTCAACATGTTTTACTTCCGTAGATGGTATGCAGATCCAGCATAGATAACCAAATACATCCTGGCAAAAAGAATTTGAGCCAGCTACTAGAGGAATATTCCATTTGAAAATATCAAAGAGTTATTATAGGTGAAACGCATAGAAAAGCACCAAAATCTGTTGGGACTTGAAGTGAAAAGTTCAAGTGAGATCGTATGCAAAGAAAAACACTGATGAACAAGGAAAAATAACTATTCACAAAAATAATAGTACTACACTAATTATTTGGATAGAAGACTTAGAAGAACTACTATCATTAAGTGAAATTTAATTTCTGATTTGGATGTAATGCAGTTGTAAGTCTTCACTAACTATTCTTCTTATCTAATTTCTAATTTTCTTACTCGTAACAACTAAAAATTCATTAACAACATTTTTGTACCAATCAGTCAACTAAGTTGACATTTACTCTGTAGTCTAACTTTTAAAGATGACAAGGACACTATTTAGCTACTTGATGCCTGAGCCAAGGAGTCAATTAAGCAAGGCAAAGCCGCCCCCAACTCAGGCTTCACCTAGCTTCAGAGGTTAAGCGCACTTTAAATGAATATTTAACAATATTTGAGAATAGATTAAGAGTGATGCAAATGCCAACTTGTATATTTCGATAGCTAGCGATGTCCAACTTAAATGTGAAGTTCCTAATGCTGATTTGAATTCTATGTAGCATTGAATTCAACCCAAAAGAATACATAAGGTAACAAAATATTAATCTTTTAGCAAATCAAAGCTCCCAACAACTTAGGCAAACATACAGATTTCAAAAGCCATGTCTTTGGAAAGTTCTCAATGTACGTGATATGTAACATAGATCACTTCTGTGTGCCCTCAAAGTCCACTATATGGAAAGATCAACGCTCCATGCTACTTAAACTACTTTAAATGCTTAGACTATTTCTAGTCAAGTATTAAACTGAACAATCAGCCATCCAGGTGCCTGACTAGAGCCCGGGTAGCACTATTACTTCAATTATTTGCTTCACTTCGATGTATTTAGATTTAGATACAATCAGTCAGTTAAGAAGGCAATACTAATCTTTATCATAACTTTGGCCCAAAACGTTTTATGTTCTCAGTACAATCAGATCAGTCATTTGTGGCGCTATAGTGATTACAACAGTAACATCAATAAAGATTTCTCGTGAGCACTTAATTATTATGTATTACAACAAACTGCAAATTGATTGCATCCAGTACACTGCTTAGTTGTTCCACTCGCATTGAATAAAAGCAAAATGACAGGAGATTCAACTCAACTTCTTTGGGCAGGCCAGAAACAACTTGCAATGCATAATCTTACCTTGGTTAAAATGCGAGTAGCAGTTACAGTTCAGAGTTAATAAGCTCCTCAACCGAACTTTTGTACCTCGAAATAAGATCCCTGGAATTAAGCATGAATCATGACCATCCGATAGAAGCTAATGATAATAATACAACTTTGAGAAACACATATACACATCTCAAAAAAGGATACACACCTCCGTTGATTTAGCATTTGCTCGCATTCTGCCTTTTTGCGCTTTTGTCCCTCAACTGTCTGTCCAAAGAACACAGGATTGACCAATTATCTTACCCACATTTAAGCATCAAAACATACAACTAAATTAGAATTTGTGGAGTAACTTTGTTCAAGTAAACATTGTATCAAACATAATGAACCCCACTTTTCTGTAAAATTCTTCACAGCTATAAGTTGCACAAACAGGCCCTAACTGAAAAGCACCATAAAAAGAAATAACACAGCAAAAAAAATAATCAAACTCTTGAGTATACCATAGATCTTGAGCTAATAGACCCTGATATTGATGTCAACAGCTGCTGGCACTTCTCAAACTGATTTTTCAATTCAGTTACCTGGTGAGGAAAAATACACTTGGTTTAAACTAGAAGAAATGAAAAATCAACATGTAATGATCAAACTATTGTATAATGCCTCAATCAAGAGAAGAACAAACCAATGCATCTGAGTGCTGATCTCGATTTCCATTTTCAATTGTATCAGCTAAATTCTCCACCAACTGTAAGATGACAATCAAAGTTAAAACAAAAGGTCTCACTAAGAAAGAGAAATGTCACGTTACTCTATTGAAATAGCAAGCTACAGATCATGGTTTTCGCCCAATACCTGTAAAAGATGGAAGTGAGAAGCAAGTGATTGGTGGTGCTGTTGTTGTTGTTGCTGCTGCTGCTGCTGCTGTTGTTGTTGCTGAATCTGTTGCTGCATTTGTTGCTGTTGCATCTGCTGTTGATACCGTTGCTGCTGCTGTTGTTGCTGCTGCTGTTGCTGTTGTTGCTGCTGCTGCTGTTGTTGTTGCTGCTGCTGTTGTTGCTGATAGAGCTGCGGTTGATTGAACTGTTGTTGTTGAAATTGCTGTTGCTGAAGAAATAAATTGTCTTGATTGGAGGGTGTCGAAGGATTACTGTGAGTTTGGATGTTGGGGATCATTGTCCAACTTCCTCCTCCAAAGTGGTCCATAACTAATGGCTGTTGAGCTGAAACCTGGTGGTACTTTGGTTCTGAAATGGATAAACTACTGTCATCATATGTAATCATGTACTACATAAATAGCCAAAACTATCAAAGCTTGAACCGGACTAATGGACTGAGTAGCAAAGAGAAATAATTCCTAAGATTCTGAAATGTGCAAACCACTTCAAAAATATCTTTCCCATCAATCCTTAAAGACATTTCATCCACATCTTATTACAAGAATTATTCTTTTCTACCCAAGAGAACAAACCCTCTAAAACTGAACCCATCCATCGTAACTAAAAGTAAACTCTTATCTCCAAGTAAAAAATACCATAACATCAGCATGAATTTGGTGCTCAAGTTGTTAAATCAAAAGGTACATTGAAAATTTTACTGCCGCAGCCATGTCTTTTTGATAAGGTTAAAGACTATCCTTGAATGGGCATCGCGCAGATGCCAAATTAAAAAAGATGTGACCGGTTAGATCTAGTACAGAAGGGGAAAAAAAAAATTCAGCACTAGTACAAGTAGCCTAAGCTAAAGCTAAGAAGGTAGAAAAATCCCAAGCAAACCAAAAGGGTAGATAGTATTATGTAACAAAAAAGTTCATGAAACCTAAAACTGTAAAATTAGATAGTTATTAAAAGGAGAAATGAATCAATCCCAAATGCACCTCTTACTCTTTATCTCTAATTTAGCTCAGTAATCAAGAACTATGCCTCCATCCCGAATTAGTTTGGGTTTCCTATACGAATTCTCTCCATTAGAACCCCTTTCATTCCAATATTCAATAATTTAGGTTTTTATAACCCTAGACTAGAAGTTCCCTATTACTAACATACAAATATCTGATAAAGATTAAACAGACTCCTAGCAATCATTGAACAAGTTAATTGAAATACCATTAATCAATACTCACTATGAAATTACACAAAATCTCTCTATCTATGAAATTAACAGTTTTAGGTCAAAATCACAACCTCAAAATTTCCAACAAAAAAGAACCCTAAATATTTTGAACAGATTTTTCGTTTGCCATAACTGGACAACAAAATCCTTGATTCAAGCCGCCACAAGAGAATGAGTTTACAAGTATAAGAAGTTAACCTTTACTGAAACCACAACTAGTACAGCTAATAACGAAGCAGAAGTACGATGAGAATTACCAAACGAGAAAGAATACCGGAGATGAAAACGCCGGATCCGATTGAGCAGGCAGTTAGGTTGAGCCAACAACTGAAAATCCTCTGTTTTTCAGAGAGCAAAATTGAAATTACTCATTCCGTCCCAATTTGTGGAGGGGGAGCTTTTGATTTCCAAAGCAAACAAGTTAATTTTGAAATTTTAACATTTTTGATAGTATAAAATTTATATATCAAAAATTAAATAAAAAGTATTAATAATTTAAAAATACATAAACTCACTTTTCGTTAGTCAATTTAATTTATTTATGAACTATATTTTAACAGACTGAAATAAATTGAACTAATAAAAGAGTAGATCAACAACTCATTCAAATTTGAACGGATTGTATTTAATTTTAGAGGAAACAACACAAAACACACATTTATATTTGTGCTATTTATATGCTGAAACTATATTTTTCCAATTATATTTTCTCTCAGAATTTTTTTAATCCATCTGACATAATAGATACACACGAGTCAAAATTAGATATAATTTATTCTATACACATTATATCTAAAACGTATTTCACATGTATTCAAAAGTCATTATAAAGAGATTGGTAAAGCATTACAGTGAGAGAAAAAAATTGTTCATTGATTAGAAAAGTTTTTAGACAGAGTCTTGAAGGAGGTTCTATGGAGATGCTTGGAAGTTGGAGGTGTCCCTATGACGTACGAGTCTGGTACCAACACAACACAGCTATTTTTTGAACCCTAAACACCAAAATAGACCCTCTTTAAAACACACACACCAACATTTTTTAGAGAGGATCCCTTTTGATGTTTAGGGTTCAAAAAATGTCCGTTTTGATGTCGGATTCTATGACGTACACTAAAGAGATCAAGGACATGTATGAAGGAGTCAAGACCTAGAAAACGTAAAGCACTTTTCAATTGTGATGGGGTTGCACCAGACATCAACTTTTAGATCAAATTTATTTGTCTTGGTGATGGATAAATTGACGCGATATATCTAAGAAAGTGTGTCATGATGTATGTTACTTGCAGATGAGATAATTTTGATTGGCAAAGACTCAGAGTGAAGTTGATGCTAAATTGGAAGTTTGAAGACAATTTTTTGAAGTCTAAAGAGTCATGTTGATGAAAAACCATACTTTGCATACTGAGGCGGACAATGAAACTTGATATACATGCCATCAAAAAGCGAGAAAGTTTCAAGTATTTTAGATTCTCCCGTCATGAATCTTAGCAATGATTAAATAAATTATATTATATGAAGTGAAAACTTGACTAATCAAAAATATTGAGATAAAAATAAGATTCGTATACATTCACTTTCTTCAAATTCCACTATATAAAATTAACTGGATAAATTATTGTTATTATGTCATTATTAGATCTAGAAGGGATCAAGTTTTGTTATTTGCTCAAAATTCTAGTGGTACCTCAAAATAAAAAAAGCCAAAGGGATAAAACAAAAATGTTACTGGCCACACGAAACATTCCGTTGGTCAATACAAGTTAACCCACTGTCACACGAATAAAAGGAAGGGAAGAAAGGGTGAAATTGATAAGACAAGAATTGAAGTTACATTTGACATGACTAGTTGAAGTGATATTACTTTGTCCTCACTCTTTTGGCCCCCCTCCTCCCATATATAATTTTATTTTTATTTTTTATCGAGTGTTCAGAGTTCATATTAGAATACTGCATTCATTTGAGACAGTATTTTTAATAGGATTTTTTTTTATATTCAAAACTTAAATTCGAGACTTCTAATTAAAACTAAACCAATCCCACCACTACACCAAGACTCATATTGATCTTATGATCTTCTCTTGTTCCTTCTTTCTGCGCCACTAAGGTCTCATTATCTTCTTTTGTTCCTTCTTTCTGCGCCATTACTTTTTCCTCTATAAATGGTCTAGCTACTCTCAGGGCCGGCTCTATGCTTTGGGAAATAAGGTTTTTGCCTTAGACCCCCAAATTTTTATCAAGAATAAATTATGTGTTAAAATTTTTATAAAAAAATTAATTATTTATTATAAAAAGTATATTTAAAAAAAAAAATTATTTTACCCACTTAAGCATTTTTGGTACTTTGTTAAAAATAACAATTAATAGTGAAAAGTATTGAACGAAGTGAATTACAAATTCTTTTTTATTTCTTTTTAAATTATAGTTTCAAGCATTACTACAATTATATTAAAATGGGATATACCAAGTCATCAACTTTTTGAGTCAAATTTTATGGTTCTAACTCTTATCTTTATTTAATATTCATCAACTTATTACTTTTGAATTATGTTAACAATTCATATAATAATTGTCTCACTAAAAGGATGTTTTCAATGTTGAGTTGATGAAATCTTACCTAAAACTAATGATTGAAAAAAACAATTTAAATACTAATAAAATTCATCTCAATAATGTAAGAAAAATATTTTCTTGAATAAATACATATATGAAGTTTGTTTATATTTTAGGCCTCGTATTAAAATTTTGCTTTAGATCCCAATAACGTTGAGCCGCCCCTACTACTCTCTCTTCACTATTTCTACCTTTATTTTATCTCCTTTACACAGAAAGTATATAAGAAAATCTAGAATTTTTAAAATTACTTTACATAATAATTTATGTGGTATCATTGCATAACAATCTTTGTTATATTATTGAATACCATCATAACTAGGTAGACTATAAACCAAACAAAGTTCTATTTAAAAATTCTCAAAATTCACATATTAAACGTTAAATAGTTTGATCTTCTGAATCAAGCCACTATATATATTTAATTTTATCCACAATTATATACGAATTTTACTTATGGAGTAAAAAGAAATAAAGAATTAAAGAATCATTTAGTTTGAAGACAGGTTATGCTTAATCTAGTTATCTTGTTATTATTATTAATGATTTGATTTATTATATTAAAAATTTTGTTTACAACAATATCCCTTACCTTATTTAGTAGAAAAATGTTTTTGACATTTTTGTTATTTTATCCCAAAATAACTAATTTTGCTAATGTTATTCCACCGTAGAAAAAATAACTAATCTTGATACTAATTATTTACCTTAATATATTTTTTCAGGATTAATAACCACACAAGAGACAAAAGCTGCACTAAATTTCATCGTAACATGCCAAACTAGCCCCAAGTAACTAAGATATTTTATCTGGAAATTATTTTTTCAAGTGTTATCTCATTCTCAATGCGGAATAAAAATAACACTAAAATTTTGAGATAATTATCTTATGTTCCTATGGTTAAACGAGATAAGTGAGTTTATTTTTTATTTTCTATTTGATATAATATATTTATATTGGAGTTTGATAAAATTCAAATTTACATCAAATAGAGCTCCATTCATATATAACGCTTGTCCGCTCCCTATTAATAATTTTTTCATTTCCAAAATTCAAAGTCGAGACTTGAATAACCTCATTCAGTACACCGGACCGAGTTGTATGTATCAAATCATGAACCCACAAGAAGTAAAACTATTGCACTCTCTCACATCCTATATATAGTGAGTCGAAACAACTTCAAAAAATACCCCCACAAAACAAACACAGCCATGTTAGACGTGTATAGTACCATTAATTCCGTCTCACAGAACTTCTCCCTTCCATCGGCGCCGCCACTACCGCCGCCGTCATCACCACCGACTGTGAGCCGTTACGAGCTCCAAAAACGGCGAGATTGGAATACATTCGGACAGTACTTGAGAAACCACAAGCCACCATTGATACTTTCGCGATGTAGCGGAGCGAACATTCTAGAATTCTTAAAATACCTGGATCAATTCGGAAAAACGAAAGTTCACAACTGTAATTGTCCCTTTTTCGGCGATCCTCATCCGCCGGCGCCGTGCAATTGCCCGTTGAAACAGGCGTGGGGGAGCCTTGACGCGCTAATTGGGAGGCTACGCGCCGCTTTTGAAGAGAACGGAGGACGGACGGAGACGAATCCGTTTGGTGCTCGAGCAGTGAGATTGTATTTGAAGGAAGTGAGAGACACGCAAGCCAAAGCGAGGGGGATTGCTTATGAGAAGAAGAAAAGAAGAAATATTAAGCAGCGGATTAGTACTAATATTTGTGATTAGAGTTTGAGTAGATGCTATATATAATTATTAATGGCTTTAATTATTTGGAATTAAAATTAATTAGCTTGTTATATTATTATGTACTGTATATAAATAGGAGTATATGTTTTTGCTAGAACTATAAATCATCTTCTGTTTCAATTGAAAGTTAATCTAGGGTGGAGGGAGAGTCTCGAGAATTCAGTAATTGATCCAACAAAAATGAAGGTAACACCAAGTTAGACAGAGACGAAATTAAGATTCTATTAAAAAATACTTCAAAGATTTTTACGTATACATTTAAGAAACACTAATATATAATTGATATCAGGATTTTGTTAAAAAAACATCTAAAAAGTGTTTGCAAATATAAGTTTAAGAAGCACTGCGACTTTAGTAGTAATTGGCTTATGCCAAGTACCAATTAAGGCAGAATAGCGTAGTAAATCATATTTTAATTGAAGTTCATATTTTTTTTTCAATTACTTCGAAGTTCGAAGTATACGAATCTTTATTATGATCATATAAGCATGTGAAAGAGAAGCTAGAATGAAAGAAACCATATTATATTCTCTATTATCTGGGGCGGAGCCAGGTAGGATCAAGGGGTTCATTCGAATTTCCTTCAACAGGTGTTTACTCTTCAAATTTGAATCCTTTAATAAAAATCATGGCTCTGTCACTGACATTTATATTTCCCTTAATAGGGAAAATCAGGATACAGGCACCAATTTGATTTTTTGTGGAACATCAACGAATCTTGTGGCACAACTAGTTGATTTTTTCAATTATTTCATTCATTCTTAATTTGTTTTGTATTTGTCACCTCAATGACGAGTTCCACTAAATAGCTAGCGATGGGACATGTAAATTCCAAAATGAAAAAACGAATCCTACCATATTTCCTCTTTTTAATAATTGCAGCTAGAAAAAATTTTACTTGCTTCTGGATTGCATTAAAATGATCTACTAAAAGCACATTATATTATTCTTCATTATAGAAGAAATGTGGTAGAGAAAAAAGGAGGACAATAATTGGATTAAGATTCTTATTTTTTGGGTTTTCAATTTGTGGTAAAGAGGCATTTCCTTTGTGTTTTGGTCTTCAAATTCCATCATTGCATAGGTTTTAGTTTGCCACTAGTTTTTTTTGGTTTTTTGTTTGGAGGTTCAAGACAAAGTATATAGGAAAGGGAATTAAAGTCAATAAGAATATGAATATGTATGTAGAAACAAGATATCAAGTTTTCTAGCGAACATATACTCATAATTATTTTCCGAGGATTTATCGAAAGCAACCTTTCTACCTCCAAGATAGAGGTAAGATATGTGTACACTTATCTAAGATATGTGTACACTTATCTTCCTAGGACATCACTTTGTGGGATTACACTAAATATACTGTCATTGTTTGTACTTATGATGTTGTTATTCATGATATTTGAATTTTAGCATACAAAAAATGTTAGTTAATCGATCATGAAGTTTTGAACATTTCAATTAAATTTTTACCGTACACAATCCACATTAATGGTTTATTTTCAGTTTTAACACTTCAAAAACTCTAGTAGTAGTATTTTATTTAAAGAAACTAAAGGGATAAAATTGACATTTTTATGTGATGCATGACTCTAACACTCCAAAAACTCTAGTAGTAGTATTTTATTTAAAGAAACTAAAGGGATAAAAATGACATTTTTATGTGATGCATGACTCTACTAGTTTTGGACAGATAAAGCAAATTAATGTATTCAGTTGGTGAAGCTTACAATCTAACTGGTGAATCTTACAAGATATTTTTATCAATATAACTTTCCTTTTATAATAAAGCCTACTACTTTTGAACTGCTCATGGTCGAGCCTTTTCCCCATAACTGTGGTGTTCAGGCTTAGTTTGTGTACAACTTAACTAATTTCATGAGTTACTTGACTTTTTCGACCAGCATCAGGTAGCAGGTAACTCTATCCACTGCGGCTAGGTTTTTGTCTTTATTGAAATTTAAACCTGAAACCTCGTGGTTAGAGCTGTCAATATGAACTGGGTCACCACATCCGGGCTAATCTATACAAACTTTGAAATTTGACGGACTTGACCGATTAGCCCATTTTTTGTGGGCCAAAAAATGGTCAGCTTTGCCCACAAGTACGTGGGCTACGGGTTGTGTCAGGCCAGGCCAACCCAATTTTTTTAAAAGTATATTTTTTTATAATTTTTTAAATCAAATTATAATTTAAAAATATTATCATAAATATCGATAAAACAATATTATATGGTGTTAGTGTTATTACTTGTTAATCAAATGCACAAATAAAATTATCTTTATAATATTTAGCAAGTTTGATTTCAAGTAAAAGCATGAATAATTAAATAGAAATAGTAACCTAATTGTTTTTCAATGATCATAATAAAACACAAAATCTATGACAGTATTCCATAGGTTACGGCTTACGTAATGAATCCCTAGAAAATTTAGGGAACTAGTTTTTTGATACGTGCGTTGCACGTGATTACCAATTTCAAAAATATATGTTATAGTAAATAGTATTGTTTATTTTATCGAAGATTTGAATAATAAGATTAGCAAAAAATAATATTGCAGATTCTTTTGTGAATGTTCAATGTGGATCGTCATATATATCTCTTAATCACACAAACCTATGAAGATGGTCAATGAAAAATTTTATTAGTTAAATGCAATTATGTATATATTTATTTCAAGGTTCATGTAATTAATCTTACCTCACTAATATTACCTTATAGACAATATTTGCTTTGTATTTTTCTTGTCATCTAACCAGATGTGCTTTGCATGTGTATTCTAAGTTAAATTGTTTAGATGTCATATGAACATGTAAAAAGAACAACTACATTTTATATATTCACATATTTTCACATTTGTTGTGAATTTTTATTTTAAAAAAAAAAAATAGAACTCGGAACATTTTAAATAATATATTTTGAAGTTAGAAGATCTCATTAACTTGATAATACATTTATGACATATATAATACTTTAATTTAAATACAAATACCTATCTAAATATAAATATATATTTGCATTAATGAAAATATTTATCTCATAAAATTAGCTATTAAATAAATAATAAAAATTAAATTAATACGAACTTCAACTGGCATTATTACAAGTCATATGAACTTTTCTTCTTCTAAAATACTGAAATATTAAGAAATCGTAAATAAGTAAAACAAAAGGGCAATGTTTATATAGTAATAATAACTAATTTTGAAGCAAACTTCCTGAGAGTCTAAATTACATAAGTAGCATTGATAAATAAAGTCTTTTTTTTCTTGAGCATCACAAACAAATCGTGACAATTCTCTAAATTTTGGAAAAAGATATTCAAAATCATATATCTACATCACAAAAGAAATTGTTAACAAAAACAAATGAATTTAGACTACATCATGTTAACTTCATATATTGGAACATTCCATATTAATGTATATATTAAGAAAAATAATTATTATATCATCAAAATTATACTTATTATTTTCCTCAAGTACTCAAGGTTATGAAATATACCCTCTTAGGATAGAACGACTTACTTCATCAGAATAGTGGTACCTCATATTCCGCTAAACTTCGATCTCACTCAACGACAATAAATCACACAAAAAAAATTAAAATTCAAGAAGAAGAAGAGTAGAAGATTAGAAAAAATTGTGGTTGAAAATTGAGAGGAAGTCCCTCTATTTATAGTCAACAAAGGGTAGTATAAACAATTGTTTTATGTGTCTTATCTGAAAAATCATGACCTTTCCGAGAAGTCACAACACTTTGGAAAAGGCACTACTTATTGAAAAAGTCGCAACTTAATGAAAAAATCACAACTCATCGAAAAAGTCACAACCTAAGTTAGGGATAATATAGTAATTTAACATTCAAATTAGGAGTTCATGCTTTTAAGGTAATATAGATATAGATATTTATGTTATGTAGTGCATATTTTATAAACATAATTTGTATTTAAATTTTAACATTTCAAACTTTAAATACATTTTGAGTTTGGACTCTTGTTATTTTGTATATTCTATTTTATTTTTATTTTTTAATTAATTTTCATTTGACCCACTGATCCGCCCTATTCATATTTCTCAAGCCCCACAAATCAACTGGCTTATTCAGGCCGGACTAAAAAGTTTTTTTTTTAAATGGGCTCCAAAAATCTTAACTCAACCCTATCAAATCACGGGTAAGGCCAGGCTGGCCCAACGGGCCTAGCCTATATTAATGGCTCTACTCGTGATTTTCAACTCACTCCATTCACCACTAGGCCACACTCCCCCACACCCTTGGGTGCTCTCACGGTAGATCCATTTTCCGCTCAAGTAATGATGTGATCCACTTTCTGCTCAGGTGACTAAGAAAACTGCTGAACTGAATGGAGATCAGAATTAAGAGCTTTATTTTGTAACAAATGCACATATTCTGTTATATGAAAGAATCAGAAAACAAAATACTCCTATAAATGATACATTTCTCTGTTTAGATCATTATTCCCTTTGTAAGGTCAAATATAAATTAATCAATGCTGCAACACAAAGATGAAATGCCTATGCTACCTGAATTGTGGATACAGTGCACTTAGCTAAGCTCTATTCTTGTGGTTGGTTAATAGTGAATTTAATCAGAGTTCTGGGGATAATGAGTGTTGTATTTGAAGATTCATTTGAGGAACATAACCCTCATTTTGCAGCTCCATTAGAAGATTGTCTAATAAAAGATATATCTGACCAGACTGCGGGTGACTCGCGTCTGCAGCAACAAATATATGAGTGCTATTGTTAACTTCAGTCCAGCTGTAACCAGGTACTTTCTGCACTCCTCTTTCCTTCATCATGAGACGAATTTTAGAAACCATATCCCATTTACCGGCGTTAGCATGTAGATTTGATTGTAACATATAGTAGCCGGAATTTTGGGGGTCCAGGCACAATAGATGCTCAGAAGCCATTTCAGCAAGCTCGGTATTGCCATGTAAGCGACAAGCCCCAAGTAATGTCCCCCAAATGCCTGCATCTGGAGCAAATGGCATGCTCTTAATCTCTCCAAATGCTTCTTCCACAAGACCAGCTCTGCCAAACAAGTCAACCATGCATGCATAATGCTCTGTTCGGGGTGTAATCCCATATTCCTTAGTCATGCAATTGAAGTAGTGTTTTCCCTCTTCAACTCGACCAGAGTGGCCACAAGCAGATATGATCGCAAGAAAAGTGACGTGGTCAGGCTGGAATCCATCTTTTCTCATTCCATGAAACAAATTCAGACAGTCCTTAAGTCGACCATGATTTCCATAAGCTGCAATAATACTATTCCATGATACTTCATTCTTGTGCGCCATTAAGTCAAATACGCGCCAAGCTACCTCCAAGTTCCCACATTTAGCATACATATCTATTAATGCACTTTCCACAAAAACATCGGAACTTAATGCACTTTTCATAATGAAGCCATGGATCTCTTTCCCATAATGGAGAGCTGGCAAATTTGCACAAGCAGAAAGAGCACTGGATATGCTGACACAATCATATTTGGCTCCAACTGCACCCATCTGCTGGAAGAAGTCAATGGCCAATTCCGGTTCAGCATTCTGGCAACAACTCGTGATCATTGAATTCCAACAAACAACATCTCTTTCAGACATCCTTCTGAAAACTTGTTGAGCAAGATCCAATCTTCCACACTTTGCATACATGTCCATCACCGCACTTCCCACATAAAGTATTCCTTGAAAGCTGCGCTTAACAATGACACCATGCAGTTCCTTACCTAATCTCAAAGCAGCCAAACCAGAACAAGCTGGTAAGGTACTTGCTAGAGTAACAGGATTGGGCCTCATCTTCTTATTAAGTAACCATCGGAAAACATCTATGGCATCAGAACTCATGGCATTAAGAATAAATCCTGAAATCATAGCAGTACAAATAACAACATCCACCGCAGGGCTGCAGCTAAATATGTTGCGTGCTGCCACAACATTCCTGCACTTGAAGTACATATCAATAATGGCATTCTTTAAGAACACATCAATAGATACATCATGTCTCACGATATAGCCATGAATCGCCTTCCCCTGGTACAAATCTTCCAATATAGAAACAGAGGGGAGCAAACTAGCAAAGGTGATAGAGTCTGGTTTGACACTGCTAGCTACCATTTCCCGAAATAAATCCAGCGCCTCATCGATATACCCATTCTGTACATACCCTCCAATCATCCCATTCCAAGTCACACGATCTGCTTGTGGCACTAAATCAAAGATCTTGCGTGCATCAAATAAGGAACAGAATTTAGCATACATTGCAATCAATGTATTGGCTACTGGAGAATCCATTTCCAACCCACATCGCATAACAAGCCCATGAAGCTGACAACCAAATTTAACCATCGTTTCCGAGGCACAAACAGAAAGAACACAAGCATATGTTACTGAATTAGGCTTAGTTTCACTTTTCCTCATTTCCATAAATAACCCAACTACATCATTCACAGACTGTTCATCTTTAGCATAACCATTAAGCATCACATTCCACAAGACACTATCCCTTTGAGACATTTTATCGAACAAAAGGCGAGCATCATCCAAACAACCATTCTCAGCATAAAACTTAATAAAAGCACTACCCACAAACACATCATCCTCAAAACCTAAACTTTGTACTAACCCATGTAGCCATTTACCTAAATTCACAGCATTTATACCAGCACAAGCCTTAATCACACAAGGAAAAGTGTATTTATCAGGGCAAGTACCAAAAACCAACATCTTAAAGAACAACAAGATTGCAAGATCAAAACGACCCATTATTGTATACCCTCTAATCATCCAATTCCAAGGGGAAGCATAACACAACTGAAGCTGAAAAAACAATTTCTTGGCATCGATAAATCTGTGACACAAAACATACATCCCCAGGATTCTTGTACCAAGAATACCCAAGTTGTCGATTCCATTTACAGTTACTTGGGCATGAACCTGCTCCCCTTTACGAAGAATAGAACCAAGATTTTCTGTAGAATTTGTGCAAGATTGCAAAATTGAAGCTATTTTCGATGCTAAAACCTGTTCTGTGTTGTGAAAAACTGAATCTTGGATGAAAGGGGAATTGGGTTTTGAGGAAAATGCCGCAGCGACTGAGATACTCCTTCTGAAGATTAAACAGATGTTCTTGCTTTGAAACAACATTTACAAGTTGAGGTTTACTGTTTTCCTTTGTCCATTTTTCTGCCCTAGAGTCGAGTGTGATCATAAAATTAAAGTGTTTTAACATATTAATTTGACAAATGGTTATAAAATATTTAATAAGATTTAACTTCAATTTCAATCAAATATTGTCAAATATGGTTTTGTTATAATGAAAATGATACTTTATAGTGTTTTATTTAGCTAGTGAAAATGCCAGTATCTTACTTCAAACTTACATGGCTGCAATCCTCTTTTTTCCCCGATTTTTCAAGGTTGTGAAACAGCCTAGGATAAAATTGTACGATAAACATTTATAGTTCGGTCCTTTCTTGAATCCTGCACATAAAGGAAGCTTAATGCGCCGCCCTTTTTATAGTCATATTCAACAATCTAATATGCATTTCATTATTACTATGTGTGCGTATTTAAAATTTTCATGGCAATATATTAACCAATTTTGCCAATGCACCACCATAAACATTATACAGATTACAGGCCAAGCTGACAACAAAATATAGAGGATGATAATCAGATATCCCTCTAGAGAAACCAATGCTCTTTCTGCAAAAGAGAAACCATGACTATAAGATTCATCAAAGACTCTTTATTTGCATTGATGTAATGTGTTTCAATATTAAAGGTATAAATTATTATCTATTTAATATATTTTAGGATTTATCTATCCAATTGTAACTTTCTTTTAAAAAAATAAAATTCTTTAGTTGAAATTCAAACTGTGGTTATAAAACTTAAATAACAATATATTAAAATTATTGAATTAAGCGGGTCAAGACCCAGTCTGTATTTAAGCCCATTGGAGTCCAACCCTTTTGAGCCCAAAGTAAACTTGGGCAGGTCAGAACCCAACCAAATTTCTATTTCAACCCATTTTAATATCTCTAATTTCAACTCAACCCGTCCATTTGACACCCCTAGATTAAACATACATTCATAAAACTCCATGCTACTCTTCTTCTTTATAAATGAAAAATATGCTAGCTACTCCCTTTTTTCAACTACATGTGTCCTAATTTGAATTTGATGATCAATTTGACCAATTGTTAGAGCAAAAAAGTGAGATAAATTGTTCAGAATTCAACGAGAGAATTACACGTAGTCTCTCATACTAATACAGTTTCTCTAGGTACTAACAACTTTTTGAAGAGTTGATCATCTTGTCGGGTTTGTAAGTAAAATGTTTGGAGCTGAGAATATCATAGGACTGCTTCATCCTCTACGTGTTCGTTCGATTGCAGAATCTGCTCTGCTCTGATAGCATATTGAAGTGTGTGATCATCTTATCTACAAGTTTAAGCTGCTAGAAAGATGACATTTTTATTAGTTAATGATATTCTCAACATAATGAAAATTATTACACATAATATGTTTATTTAACTGTTAGGAATAATTTATTGAGAACTTCTTATAAAGGAGTTGTTGTGAATCAAGTTGACTTCATATGGGCTTATGTGTTAGAAGTGTTGAATGAGGCTAATTTAGATGGGATTATTGGGCCGAGTAAATATTAGAGAGTTTTATTTGAGATCCAGGCTCAATTACCAAGTGATTAAATAGGACTAGGAGTTATACAGAAGGGTTATGCGTATTGTAAAGAAACGGTATGTTTCTCTCATCTTCTTTCTATTAGTCAACTTCTCATCCACATTCTTATCTATATTCAGTTACTTGTTATTTCAGTATTTCTCTTTGTAATTCAAGTGTTGTTATTATAATTTGGTTATTAACGAATATAATGTTTATGTATTTGTATTGAGAATCCAGATTTGTTTCCGGAGTGATAAGTTTTCAAGTATTTTCGCCTCCTATATGTACTTGAATTTGTGAATTCTTCAAATGTCTTTGTATTTATAAATAAATATTGTATATTTAATAACCAGAACTTGTACTTTGAGCTTAGACGTTGTTGACACCCGATTTTGACCCTTCCCGGTAATAATTAATTTCGAGCTTCTCAATTTCCAAACGATTTAGAATAATTAGTTTTATAAAATTCAAATACTTTTCAAAGTCATTTTAAGTGATCTTGGTCGATTTTCATAATTTATAAATAGTAAATATATTTCATATGGTTTTATAGATATAATCGGTATGTCTCATGATATATTTTATTTTATATATTATATTAAAATTAGTTTAAAAAGATCACGGTTAATTTAGAAAATCAATTGGTTTATAGTGGAATTAATTATTTTATTTTGTTAAGATGAGAAGCTCATGAATTAATTATATTAATTTATCTTATTCATCTTTAGCCGAATTTGCAAACAAGTTCAATTTGGTCAAATTCGTAATCTCAATTGGCCAATTACAATTCAACTTGGCCAAATTAGTAATTCACTTGGTCATATCAAAAACAAAAAGAAACTAAAATATTGGGCCCTCTACTCTCAATTTTTCAGCAACCAACCGACCCAATTCCCTCTTTAACCCAGGCCCACTTCCAATTATCAGCTTAATTCAATCCCTCCAACCCACACTCCTTTAATTCCCCTTTTGACCCGACCCAATACCCAATTCCATCGACCCGGCCCCACCCTTTTCTTCACAAAGAGATCCAAACGTTCAAACAACACTCCAAACAGTGAAGCAACGGAAAAGAACACAGCATCAGAAAACGCTAACACTGGCAGCAGCAAACGACAACAAAAATTCAAGCGGCGACTCACGGAAATCGTCACGGCGTCTACGAGTACAACAGTACTCTGCCCTTCCTTGTCGTTTTCTTCACGTCCCTCTCATGGCAGCAACACGGTTTTCTCACCATTTCCTCTTTCGGAATGGTTTGAATCTGCGAAAAAAGGTGCTGCACCAAAAAGGGTGAAAGAAATTAAGAGTTTGAATTTTGGAATTGGGCCCTTGAGTCCGATCTTCATCTCTCTTTTTTCCCCATTCCGAACCCTAGAAAATCCCCTATATAAACTCTCTTCTTCTTCATTTCCAGGGGGAAAAGAAAAAGAAGGAGATTTGTTAGCCGAAAATTTGGGTTTAGAGAAAAATATTGGAAAAAGCTAGAAAGAAAGTCGAAAACGGTTAGCTTTAAGGACGAGATACACCACAAATTTTCAGCTATTCTAATATATAGGAGTATTTTAGATAATTTTTGAAACGGTAGAGGTCGGGAGCTAAAATTTTGGCTTGATTTTTTGCTCTGGGTTTGCTCCTTCTGCTCATCGGAGTTCTTAGGATCATATTCCGGTGGTAAAGGATCGTTGTCTCTAGCTCGTCGCTCAGTTTGCTGCTCGAAAAAAAGGTAACCCCTCTCTTAATTTCAATCCGTGTCTATATTGGTTTCAATGCATTAGTGTGTTTGATTTTCAGCTTTTGAGGTGTTTAGACGCCAAGTTTTGGGGTTTTTCTGTCCTTTTCTGTCGATGGTTCTGTTTTATTTTTAGTCATAATTTGACCGGAATGCAGATATAAAGATGTTGGTAGATTGTTTACTAATTGCCGCTACTCTTTATTGTCCTAGCTTTCGTAGTGTTGTCATGATCAGTTTCAAAATGACAAGTTAGTCTTAGTTGATGTGTGTTTGCTATGAATCTGTGTAAATGATCCGTATTCGACATCGTATCGTGCTTTCTTTGCTTTAAATTAAGTATATGAATCAGTTAAATATAGTTGTCCGAGTTCATTTCCGTGTTTCCATCACTCCTCTTTTCAATATGTTTACTGGAGCAAAATCTGAACCTTTTAGTCATTAGAAAATAATTGCTTCACTTCGGTCTCTGAAATGGCCTCATACCCGTATAATCTAGTCCCATTGTTGTGTATGTTTTGATATTTTGTCCAGTCCATTTAGGTTGCCTGTTACGTATTTTATTAGTCTAATTTACGACTTATAGGCAAGTCATGTCTATTTTCTTTGGATGTCTACTTTGGTCTCGTGGTGAGGATAATAGGCCAAAAGCGAGTGGCCTCTGCTTTGTGCCATTTCGAATCTAAATTTCCATGCCCAGCTTTTTATGACATGCCTCAATATGTTTAGATGCTTGCTAGGATTCATCTACACCAAAGCTAAAGTTGTCTGCTTATTTTGGATGCATGCTCATGTATGGAAAATGTGTTAAAAGTCCACTGTGTTATTTTAATTTTGCTTGCTGCCATCTCTTATCAAATTCCAAGGGATATGAATGTTTAGTCCCTTTTTAGTGATGGATTGAGAAACGTGTCTCTGCATGTTTCCTTCAAAAGGACTATTTGTCAATTTGCACTTTCTTAGGCCATATGCATATTATTAGTTTATCTCTTTTGGGATTCATTCATCCGCCTTGTGCTTCTCGTCTTTTATTTTGGTTAAACTTGTCCGTCGGTTTTGTCCTTTAAATGAATTTACCGTAAAAATAAAAATAAATTATTAATTATTGAATTTAGTTCATTTTAATCCATGGTTGTATGTTTACTACTATCTATGGGATACAAATATATGTATGTGAAATATTTGTTTCTCCATGCTTACTTATTAATTATGTCAATATGCAGACCCATATGAATACAACACCTCAATCTTCTAACATTATAATAATAACATTAATTCATGCCTAACAATTACACTTCCAACCCATTTCCAATTTTAACACATCACTATTCAATGGTCAACAATGTTTGTCCAAATTTGCCATCAGCTTTTCACGTGGAAGCAATTATTATACATATGTCCTTCAAATTTCATTTTAGAATATAACAATATATATTCCTATCAACTATCAATATATACCATACAACATTAGAGCTTGTGGAATTCTAATCCTAATTAACGTTATTCTTTTTTATTTTATTATTATTATTTATTTATTTTCTTTTTCACTGTGATGATTAGGCGGTAGTGATTATTACTTTCCTTTAGTTTCTTATATTAAGTTGTGTGGGTTGTTACTCATAAGTTTACTTGTTTTTGTTGCATGTGAAATTTGCCCATGTCCTCGCGGACTCCATCTCCTTCCTACATTTCTTATGGGGCCTTGGAGACCCAATCCCCTTTT